TAGATATGTTCACCAAATGAATAGAGGTATTTCCTACAACCACACCAGATGCCCTTACTGTGGCAAAAGCATTAGTGAAAGAGATAATCCCTGGGTTACTGTCATGATTTGGTTCCGCTGCTTCCTGTCCGGCTTTTATTTTGACGTACTGTATCCAACACACTTCCATCGAAGAGTATGCTTTGCTTTTCTATAAATCCCAGCCGGCAATCGGGTGAAGGCAGGGAGTGTTAAAACACAATACACAAAAAATAGGGTAATAGTATTTCCCACAGTGAACCTCAAACATCACACTTAGTAATTCACAAGGTGGAGTTGGATATGTCATTACACTTGATGAGGTACTGAGGGGTTATTGCACATATACTCTCACATTTCTCACATTTTTGTATTTGCCATCAGTCTTACTGCAGCAGGGAAAAAGCTGTTGTAAAGTCTAGTTCTGTGTGTGACTATATTGTCTGCCCTGCTGTGCCTGAGGCTGTAGGTGCAGTTTTTGTGTCTGAGCAGGGTGTGAGCTGGGTGGCATGGATCCCTGATTATGTTCTCTGCCCTTTTACAACAGCGCTGTGTGTATACTGTGTCCATAGCAGGCAGTTCAGTCCCAGTGATCATCCCTGCAGTCTTTATGACCCTTTGAAGAGCCTTCCTCTCTGCCCGTGTGACCTGAAAAGCAGTGTCCCCTGGGTCGCAGGGGGATATTGAGGGGGTGTCTGTGTTCAACCTGTCAAACCATGCATAGAAGCTGTTGAGGCAGTTCAGGATGGTTGCGTCCTAGGGGGCCACATACCGCGTGTGTTGTTATTCATATAGTAGCTCTCCAGTTTAACACGGCACAAATAAGCAAAAAAGAGACAAAAGAGAAAGAACCTGAATCTGAGTGAACTGTGACGTCCCACACCGAGCAGCGCCATCTTGTTAGAACATTTTGAATATAAAATGGTGAGAGCTGTCAACTGTGTTTAATGTAGACCTTGATGACTGACTCAGGTAATGGGGAATCAACTTTGACTCATCTCGGATTATTCATTAACTCGGATTTGACTCAGACTTGGGATTTGAGACTCGACTCGAGGTTTAGTGACTTGACTTGGCTCTGGAACCATACTCCTCGAGAGAGGCTGGAGTCTCCACTACTCTGGACTTGCCCATGGTGAGAGGGGGCGGGCTGGTGTGGACTTGCTTATAGCCCCCCAGCTTAGTCACCATGTGTTGGAGCTTACCCCGGTGAATGAGAGGGGCGTTTCCCTGTGCCTTCGGGTTGGGGATAGGTCTCTCACTGTCATTTGTGCCTATGGGCCGAATGGCAGTGTAGAGTACCCGGCCTTCTTGGACTCTCTGGGAGACTCCATCGTTCTACTGGGGAACTTCAACGCTCATATGGGCAACGACAATGACACCTGGAGGGGCGTGATTGGGAGGAACGTCCCTCCCGATCTGAACCCGAGTGGGAAAAGGGTGGTTTATTCCATTCAGGTTGGTGGAAAGTTTCTGCCTCAAGTGGAGGAGTTCAAGTATCTTGGGGTCTTGTTCACGAGTGAGGGAAGGATGGAACGGGAGATTGACAGGCGGATCGGTGCAGCTTCTGCAGTAATGCAGTCGATGTACCATCTGTTGTGGTGGAGAAGGAGCTGAGCTGTAAGGCGAAGCTCTCAATTTACTGGTTGATCTACGTTCTGACTCTCACCTATGGTCATGACCAAAAGGGCAAGATCCTGGATATACACTGTAGGTGGCTGAAATGAGCTTTCTCTGCAGGGTGGCTGGGCGCACCCTTAGAGATAGGGTGAGGAGCTCAGTCACCTGGGAGGAGCTCAGAGTAGAACCGCTGCTCCTCCACATCGAGAGGAGCCAGCTGGGGTGGCTTGGGGATCTGTTTCGGATGCCTCCTGGGTGCCTTCCTGGGGAGGTGTTCCATCGGGAGGAGGCCCCAGGGAAGACCTAGGACACACTGGAGGGACTATGTCTCTCGGGGAAGTGTCTGGAGAGAGGGAAGTCTGGGCATCTTTGCTTAGACTGCTGCCCCCACGACCCGGTCCCGGATAAGTGGAAGAAGATGGATGGATGGACTACAACACTGGATACAACTGAACTAAACCGAACTGTTTTGCTCAGTGCCTAGTCTAAAAAAAGTAAAATTCCTAAATAGCTAGTGGGGCAAAAGTGCTCATTACCTTTACGCAGAGTTGAGGGTGTGGATCCACTCTAGTAAATATTATCTGAAAAACAGATTGAAGGTTGATAAAGTATGTATTAATAACATAATACTTCTCATATGCAAAACAGTGTTTGAAAGTCTTAGTTTATTTAAGACTGACTAAACACTTCAGTAGTTATCATTTAGTTTGAGCTCATACGTAACAGTTTTTTAGGTAAGCTGGATAACTTTCAGAGACTGCATCACTGCCTGTTTTTACATTAACAAAGAATTCCTTAATTAACATGACCTCAAGTTAAAAATCAGCCTTATATACAGTATGTTTGGCTTGACTTATAATAACATAACAACAATATTTATATTAGGTGAAGCAAAAGCTTAGAATAAACCAATACAATACTTTGACTCAGTATAAAAAATGTCAGGTTCAGAATTATGTTACACTGTTTAATGTGTACTGTACAAACTCCTGCTAAAGAAGGATGTTGTCAGTACAATTTTATACTTATTTAATTGGGTACCCAGCTGCCATCATGAGTCACATTCGAATCAGTTACAAAACACTGTCCTCCAATAAAACAAATATATGTTGAAACAACTGCCACCTGGCTGTTATTACTCACCCAGTGATAATGTGTCACAAAGGTGGGTAATTTTTCAAAAGCTGTCACTAATCTTTGAGGCAAAACCAGAAACCAGACATTCTGCTTTTATGAGCTTGATCCTGTGTATTTTCTGTGCAGCATTTATGGCAATTCTATTATGTATTAACCTTGTGCATTCATGTTTAACAAGCACACAAACTTTAACTGTCATGCTTTAGTGATGTGTGACCATTACCAGCAGTTAGAAGCTTTGCAGGATAAATGCAGCAACAATTTCAACATTTTAAAAAGGCTGTACCTTTTCTCTGCTAGCATTCTGGGAGGCATGAGGCAGGTCCACGCAGACGCTATCCTTGCTTTTCTGACACAATGTCACAACGGCACTAACTTGACAGGGAGGCAGCCACGACAGCATCTGCTCCAGTGGGTCAAAGGTAACTCCATACCACAGTTCCTCAAGACCTGCGGGGACATGAAGTCATGCTCTTTTCAAATTCAAATGGTATTGTATCAGGTTACTACAGATTTCCTTGTGACTAAAAGTAGTTAAGGTGACTCACGGTCTTTGAATGGGCAGACCTGGACTCTGGGGGCATCCATCACAGCTGACCACCCCTGTGAGGAATTTCTTAATGAGTATCAGTGTATTACTAATAAAAATAAATCAAAAGTGCTTAAAACCAAAACTGTTGACAGAATCGTCACCTCGATACAGAGGCAGGGCAAAGGTCGGGAGTATGTGAAAGTGGCACTCTTTACAGCTTCCTCTTTCTTTATCTGAAAGATAAACAAAGCGTTATAACACGTCCATTTTACTCTGGTATGTGTATATGAGTTGATGTTTTACAATTCTTTCTGATTCCTGAGTTACATAATTGATTAATTGAGTGATTAATCACTGGCAGGGTAAGTGAGCTGTGTGAGTTTTCAAGGGGTTTCTATTTAAAGTGATGATAATGGCATTTAACATTATATCCAGCCAGGAAGTCCATCCATGCTCCTCTCTTCCCACTTATTCTGATTTTCAGATTCCAATAAATATGAGGACTAACCAGTTTATGGGCCCCTGTGCCGACACAGATGAAATGCTTGTGGCACAGGCGGAGGAGATAGTTGTGATCTTCAAGCATGTCTGAAACACTGACACTCAGCTCCTTTCTCTCTGGGTTTACAGTGTACGACAGCTTACCAGCTGCAAAGCAGAGAGAGAGAAGAAAAAAGTTTTTCAACTCAAGTATATGTAGAGACCTATGTTGTGGTTTCCAAACAAGGGTTTGGGGGTGGGGGGTTTACAGGAAAAAGTAAAAGACCTGTAACAAAACTAGCCTAAGTTTTCCTTTTTTTTTATCTCCAATGTTTGCTTTTTTCTTGTTATATATTGGATAATTTTACACCTCTAAATTTTATTCAAGTTAATATTTAATTAAATTTTTGGCACCAAAAAATAACAACAAAATCATAAAAAAAAAACAAATCCGTAACTGATAAAGCAAACAATGGCACTGAAGCAGTCGTAAAAGCAGTGGCATTAAAAAGTATTAATACTGGAAAAATGACAATCTTCAGAATTTTTTGTTAACATACGTCTTTGTCACTGTCAAAGTTGTTTATTCAATTTCACTTCTCTGTCACTGTTTTGGCATGGAGGTGGGGGCTTTGAGGACAGGGCTAAGGAGCATGTGATTTGCAGACACTTGTTTAGATTCATGAGGAGAAGACAGCCCTCTCCCCTGAGCATCAAGGCTTCTGTCTGCCCAGTATGGCTGCATAGTTACTGCACTGGCTCCCCCGAATTCAGCTGGAGCTCTCAAACTGCTGTGTGTTTCCCTCTACTCACAGAACTGAGCTACATTAAAGCTCACTTTTAACTAATGATATGCTGGTGGGGCAGAGGTCTGCTGCATCAAGTGCTAATGTTAGCTACAGGTAGGTTATAGCTAATATATCTAATGTTACCTGTAACTAACATCAGCAGTGCACAGCTTATTACTTAATACCTTTTTAATGCCAATGTTTTTTATGCAAACGCTTCGATATCAATGTTTGCTTTTTCAGTTAGTTTTGTTCTCAATGCCAAGCTTTATTTTTCAATGCCAAAGATCGAACTGGCACCATAAGAAACCACTTGCTTAAAATACTGTATGTTAGACATAATAATGCATTAATAAAAATATGCACTTACTAATACATTCTGGGACATGCTTTCTGAAATCCTTCCTGTTGCATCCTGTGAAAAATAGTAACAAACTTTATGCAATAGGGAAACAGATAACAGTAAGACAAATGTGACTTTACTCCTTTGTGCGTAACTCTTACATAATACATGTGCCTTCCAAAAATAGCTTACGGTGAGTCATTCATTTTCATATAAAAATAACTGAGGATTAAAATTTCTGTAGTGATGTGTGTTGCTAAAATTTGTCTCAAGGAAATGCTCGAGAGATTAAATAACGCCCTTCACTGAGTTTAACTCTCTGTGTCATACATTCCATCTTCAGTCTCTCATTTTCCTGTTTGAGAACAGTCATGTGCCAATGAGTGTGGGTTTTTGTTATTATGCAAATACGCATGTATTCTTACCTGGGGCATTATAAGTGACGCTCCAGGTTAGGCCACAATAGACTGGCACAGTTTTCACCATGACTTGCACGTGTTGGTTTGGAGAAATATCAGTACAATCATCCTCAACTTCCACCTTCCAGAAAAGGGCAAATAAAAACCACATACACATGTCTGAAATGGCTTAGCAATGTCATCATGGAATTACTGTACATGTTTGGACCAGCAATAATGTCACAGTGTACAAAAGAGTTGATCAGATGATTCAAAATCTTTTGGTGTCAAATTAGCAATTGTTATAGTTTGAGTTATGAGAATTCAGTTTACATATATCTATATTAAAATACACTACATATTTCTTAAAAGCCCTTTGACTGATCGGTTATCTTACATTTTTTCTTTTTTTAATCTGGAATATTAATGCGTGCTCAAAAATGTATTATGCAAAAGCACAACACAGGTTAGACATTAAAACTTACTCTAACAGAAAAGTCACTCTTGCATCACACTGTGAATTAAATGTTCACTGCTGTTGACAGTACCTGCAGCCCAGACATTCGTTCTTTTGAGCGTTTTTTGAAGCTGAAAACCCGGCAGTTCACCATCATTCCTGCAGTTTCAGTGCAAATGGACACACCATGGATGTGATCTGTGGAAAAACCATATCATGATCAGAATCCAGAAACTGGCTTAAAGACACACAGTACAGGTGTCACACAGTAATAGTAACTGTTATCTAGTAACACATTTCAGTGTGAGTTGCCATTGGCTTGGGGGTCAGAAAAGCATGCATCACTCTTTATTGGCTCCAGGGTCTAATGACTAATATTATCAAAGGGAATTCCCTGCTCCAGGCCAGACAGGAAACCGACAGAGATTATCAGTGTCCTGCTTATATGGACAAGTGTGCATTCATCTCCCTGCATGTGTATTTTGATCACACCTTATTAGATCAAGAGGTTTGTATGCAAAATCAGGAACAAAAAATGTCAAATGAAATAGCAAAAAAGCAAAAGCAGAAGTTTGATCATGGAAAATGGCTGGTTTTGTAAATGAGACTTGCGTCATTGTTAATCTGCAAACAATTTTAGTGGGTCATCAGTGATAATCATCTCTAACCATGAGTTGTCTCATGTTGGTTTGGCATTTAAAAATTCCTCATTAAGACAACTACATTGAATGACAACTTCTGATGAAGTGAAGGTCAGTTACAGAGAATATACAGTAATCCAACAAACCAAAGATGATGTGGACAAATGTGCAACTTACATGCAATACAACCTATCCAAAAATCTTTTTGAATTTGTTTAAAGTTTGGATTGTGAGCATGAGGCTTTTTTCTGTTTTTTACATTGATTGAACTGTTGAATTGATTTCTATCAAATTTGCATTAGCTACTCACTGCTATTATTACTTTTAAAACAAGGCTTAAAAGTTCTGTTTTCCTGTGCCTGTGAATAAGCTCATTTTTATTTTATTTTTTTTTAAATTTGCACTAGGATGTATCAACCAGTTGTTTAACTGTCTGGTACATGCAAATTGGTATGAGTACATAGGTGTGTCAGTACTTGTTTGTTTTTATATGATCTTTTGTTGTTGTTGTTTTTCTTTGTTAACTTTCCTATGGTTTTATCTTGCTCTTATATGTGAGGCACCTTGAATTTCCATGGTGTATGAAAGGTGCAATACAAATAAAGCTGACATGACTTGACTTGACTTAGCAAAGCATCACTATGCTTAACTACAGCCTCACAGAGCTGCCATCATGGCTGTAGACTACATACATTTACATACCAGTAACTTGTAATACAGTTTTTATTCTGAGGTGAAGCGAGCACTTCTGTCTCCCTTTACAGCTCATGACTGTGTTGAGACTGATGTTGTGGAACATGGAGGAGGTGTTGAGACCTTCAGCAGGGTTCTGACATGGAGGAGGAAACAGAGCTACACCAGACAGGGCCAGAAAAAAAACATACAAGTAACACATTAGTTTTCACAGAACACACTGACATTTTTAGAGGAAAACATAGAACACAAAACAAAACTTAACAAAAAAACTCACTTAAGTCATACAAAGAAATGCCATCATCTCACTCTCTCCGCTTGCATACTCCACATCTTCTTCTACTTTCAGCTGTTCCCATTAGGGGTCACCACAGCGAATCATCAGTTCCCACTGAACTGACAATGCGCACATTAAACTTGGCATGTGTTTATGCCGTAAGCCCTTCCAGATAGTTTGCATGCTTCCAATAAAGTCACATATTTATTCAGTGCTATCATGTGGTGTTATGGTTCTACTGAAAGAAGCTGCCATGCTAAAATGAGGATCAGTTGGGTGGTCAATGAAAGAAACCTGAACTATGCTTATTTTCTTTCTCTATAAGGAAGAACAAACACACTGACACTTCCTCATATCATTGTCCCCACAGCCACATGATTCCTCAGGGTAAATGTCACAGTGAGTATAATACAGTGCTTTAATGTGATGCCCACATCATTGTCAGCAATACATTGCACAGCAGGCATTTATCTTCATTGCCTGTAAAGTAATTATGCATTTAAAAGTTCCTTATGCTTTATAATAGGTGGGACGTCATGCTTTCACTTCTTCGGCTGTGATTTATGTGTTTAAACAGAAAGTTTTGTTGTCACTCCACAAGCAGACTTTTTCATAAATCTGCCATGAATGTGACAGACTACATTTTTGCAATAAAAAAGCATATTGATTAAGTATTGATTCATAGCAGCCACACACTGCGAGTTATTGTGCAAAATCATGTAAATTGTGAATGCATGACTGCAGATGTGTTATAGCAGGCATATGTATTTATACTCACAGTCTGGCTTTGTTATGCACGTCAGACCCTGCAAGGAGAGAGGAAGAAGACACACTCAAGTGAAACACACAGTGTGAATTTTTGGTGACATTTTTTGAGTGGACGCGCCATTAATAAAATAAATGTCAACAAAGAGAACAAAGGTCACAGGGCTCTAGAAAGGGGGATTCCCAGAAAGTAAGAAGCTTTTTACATCCTCATTGCTTCTTAAACTCAACCTGTTTGCAGTTTTGCTGTGGTCCAAGTAAAGTCTATTTATGTAAATTATTTTGAAATCAATTACTCCACCTATTCTTCCTAATGTGTAAATTTCAAGTTGCAACAGGTTTGTGGGAAAGTTCAGTGAAGTTAACTGACAACAGTATTTTCAACTGTGATACAAATTATGCAACAGAAAACATTTTGCCTAGGCTATCTCCCAAAACTGAAAAATATATTCTTGTTTTTCAAGAGCCAGGAAATATGCCCTTTTAAGACTGAATCCAGACATTCACATGCACTGTGCTCAGTGTTGATGTCAGAATTGTATGACCATTGTATGACCAAAATTGTATGAGAGTCAATCATGTGAATGCTTCAGGGTGTTTCTGAAAATGGTAAAAATTCAGTTGTTTTTTCTTAAATTGATATTTGTGGTGTTTTTTCCCCAAAGCATTAAGCTGTCCATCATTTAGTTATAAGAAACAAACAGCATCCAATATCTCACATCAGTACAAGTAATGGTGATGTATGGAAAATGATGTGGGAGTGTTAGCAGCTAGAACAAAACATAACTGTTTGTGAGTATTTAGTACTGAAACTTACAAAAAGAGAAGAAGGAATGGTGTTTGTAAGAAATTGCAACACAGAAACAAAAACAGATCAGTGCAGGTCACTGAGAGAGAAGAGCACAGGATAAGTATTACCTATCCACTCTCTACCCAACTAGATTTACAGCTATTTTGATTTTCTCAAGTAAATTAATGAGTATGTGATTCAAAAACTACTGTGTAGTCTTCAAGGATTTGACACCATCCATGGTTAACATAAGCTCAGCAGAAGTTGCTTGTAAGCATGCCTGCAGTATTGTATGCATACTCTTTACATGATGTATACAATTGTTTACTCTAAGAGAGTCATACACTGTCAGGAATTGGCTTTGTGGTATGCTTGAACACAATGACTAATGCTCGGGGAGTCTTTGAGGAAACTCAAGGCTGTGAAACCAATGTGCAATAGCCCTATAGTGCATGCAGTTGTTGTAGCAATAGTAGTTTCAAAACCACTGGAAACACTACTGTGTACAGTAGTTTCAGGAAAGAGGAGGTGTTACTAATAAGACACAACTGTACTTAGTAGCTCAGTGACATTCTGAATGCAAACCCATGCACATTTTTATGTGATTTTAATAGTTCTGAAGATGCAAGTTTTACCTTAGAACACCTAGTGCCACATTTATCTATCCTCTCCAGTCCTGCTCTTTCTGCTGTAGCTCCATTCAGACCCAAACAACAGTGAGACACCAGCAATGCAACCCACAGAATCATGTTCATAAGCCAGCACCAGACTTTTCCTACTCCTCTGCTTGCCCAGGTCCTGTAATCTACAACTTTTTCTTCCTGTTCTTCTTTTCTTCTTTTCCAGCTGGGCTGAGTGGCCAAATCTGGTCACACTTGGCTGGGAGGCTGACAATTAGTTGACTGATGATGAAGCTCTTCTGTTTATGTTGTGAAGTGATGATATCCAGTGTGGCTCATGCTGGGGCAGAGTGAAAGATAAACTACTGAAAAGAGTTCTGTAGAATTAACTATTAGGAGGCGGGGCTCTTGTGTGGGAAACAGAGTCACAGAGGGCTTTTCCTCTTTAGCAACATTTCCAATAAGGTCCAAGTGTAATATTACTGTCATACAAGTCAAACTGCACAACCTCTTACCCTCATCATGTATTTTTTAGATGCCAACTATGGCACATTTTCTATTTCCATGTCATAGTAGTGAACTGTGATTAAGTGGAAATAATACTGAATCCCTCCACTGCATTCACCCACACACATGCACACACACAGTGCATGCAGCAGGTATGTATCAGGATTTACTGAAAAAGAGTAAACTCTTACAACTTACATTTTCTACTACTGTTTCAGTTCACACTGTAAAAGCACGCCTGGTACTGTTTCCTGTAAAATAAGTGTTTACTGTAAATTACTGCAAATACAATAACACTACAATTCCTTCTAAATCTGGTTCAGTCAGGTCAAAGAAGTGTCTCTGAGATGGCTGAAACTATATATAAGCATGATGTTCATTACATTCACCCTATCCAACCCAAATGTCACAGGGTGAGGTGGGGGAGTTTCATGTAGAGGCATAATTGCTGGTTGTATCCAGAGATTTGTACTACAAAAAAAGGGGGGGGATACTCTGTGTACTCTAATGTTTATAAGCTAGTCGTATTTCTTGACATTTGCTTGTTACATCACGAAGAAAAAAAAAACTTTGACCCAAAGCATCAGTTAGTCCCTTTTCCCTGACACTTAACTCTCCTTGGTTATTACAGAACGAAAACTTCCTCTTGGTTTCATTGTATTATTGTATTCCTTAACGTGGGCAAAACATTGTGGGTTGAAATTAGCTGGAAAGTTGACTACACTAGACCAGCATCTCACGACATCTCCTTACTAATTTTTGGCTACTTGGGAGCAACAAAAACAAGCTGATAATAAGTTAGTGCTGAATGTGGTGTTACAGGCCCACAAATCAACTACATAGAATGTCTTCAGGCAATATGTGAACTTCCTACCCCTCTAATGGTGGGAAGGGAACAGGAAAGAGTTGACCCAAATACAGACTGTATTCATTTCAAAAATCATTTCTGGTTGTTTGATAGTCTTAACTGCACTGGGCACCACAATTTGGACTACACAGATTAAGATCATTGTACTACAAGTCTAGCAACAGCATGGTTCCACCGCATGACGAATAGCATCAGTTATGTTTTACGGTCAGGCTCTGCACTTCTTTTAAATGCATTGCCTGACTGTAATAACAAGAAAGCAGAAAACCATAAAAGAGGCAAGACAATGGGACCCATACACTGCTGTGCTCAATTACAGTCCAAATAAAACAGATTCTTTAAGTTCATGGCAGTGAGCAGATTTTATCTTTGTACTACACACCTTCAGGAAAAAAAACAGCACAATTGACTTGTTGTCTAATAATAGAATAGTGGCGCTTATCCAGGTATGTTAGTATGCCAAACCCAAGTGCGACATGTACAAGACAATTACTGGTATAGATACATACTTGCTTGCCTAAATTCAATACAAGCACATAGATACTGGGCTGTTGTTCCCTGGTTGCGTAGGCTAGTTATAGGAACATGGAATGTCACCTGAGGCGGAGGAGCTAGAGCTTGCGAGGAGGTGGAGCAATACCAACTAGATATGGTCTGTGCAGATTCTCAGTCATCCAGGTCATAGTAAACTGAAAAAACTTAGAAAAAAATCAACTGGACTAGATTTCTAGGTCGAAGATGTTTCACCTCTCATCCAAGAGGCTTCATCAGTTCTGACTGACTGGTGTTGAGCCGGAGATATTTATCCCCCTCGGTGGTGTTTCAGTTCTTTGAAGGCCAACAATGTCCCTTAACCACTGAGTCGTTGCAGCCCAGTATCGGTGAGAGTCGTTACCTGTCTTTGAATCGTCGACCGACGCCTATTGTCCTGGTGGGCATGTTTGGGCAGAGATCTCAAAACAGGATTGTAGATGGAAGACATGTTGTGTCTTAGTCCACCACCCCTATTTAGTGAGGGGTGTTCTATTTTTACAAAAAATAGTAAAGGCTCTCCTCTCTCAAACCAGCAATGTTCTCTGGAGAGGATCTGGACTTCACTGTCCTCAAAAGAATGTCCTTTGTCCTTCAGGTCAGGAAGACCCCGAACCACGCATTGCTATACAATATTAATCATTTCTGGGCTGTCGAACCGTGACGTACCCTGATATGCCAGCTTGGCAGCTGAGCAGAGCAGTAGACAAAACATGAAGAAAATAATGTGTGTGGCTGTTGTTTTCGTGGTGTGTATCTAAAACAATTTGACATAACATTACACATTAAGACAAATATTATGGTTACTTTTACCGTCATAATAACATTTGTCCCTGACGGCAGCCTTTCTGCCTTAACCAACCTTGCATTTAACAGCCTGAGGAGACATCCTGGCTGCACTAACATCTTCTAATACAACAGATCTCTAATCCATATCTATCTAACTAAGAAATTACCTAACAATAGCTTCCTTAACTCCTCTCGCAAACCAGCGATGTTCTCTGGAGAGGATCTGGACTTCACTGTCCTCAAAAGAATGTCCTTTGTCCTTGGAGGTGGACTGCTGACTCTGGTCCACTGGAGCTGGCCCTCCTGTGTTGGGCCATGCGTTTGTGAATAATGACTCAGTCGTTAAGGGACATTGTTGGCCATCAAAGGACTGAAACACCACCGAGGGGGATGAATATCTCCGGCTCAACACCAGTCAGTCAGAACTGATGAAGCCTCTTGGATGAGAGGTGAAATGTCTTCGACCTAGAAATCTAAGTCCAGTTGATTTTTCCTAAGTTTTTTCAACTAGATATGGTCTTACCTTCACATATGGTGCTAGCTCCAGAACCAAACTCCTGGGGAGGGACTGGACTCAATCCTTTTCCAAAGTTGCCCACGGCAAGAGGCACTGGGTGGGTGTGGGGATACTCACAAGGCCCCGGCTGAGTGCTGCTGTGTTGAAATTCTCCCTGAGTAATGAGAGGGTCACCTCCATACAAGTTAACGTCACTGAGAGGAAAGCTCTGGATGTTGTTTGCACTTATGCACTGAACAGTAGTTGACAGTATGTGGCTGTCTTGGAGACCCTGGGTGGAGTCCTCAAGGGGGCACCACTTGGAAACCCCATAGTTCTGCGGGGATACTTCAGTGCTCACGTGTGCAATGATGAAGAAATCTGGAAGGGGGTGATTGAGAGGACCGGCCTGTCTAATCTGAACCTGAATGGTGCTCTCATATTGGACTTCTGTGCTAGTCATGGATTGGCCATAATAAACACCATGTTTGAGCATAGCATTGTTCATAAGTGTACTTGGCACCAGAATACCTCAGGCCTCAGATTAATGATCAACTTTGTTGTTGTATCATCTTATCTATGGCTGTATGTCTTGGACGCTTGGGTGAAGAGAGGAGCAGAAATGTCAACTGATCACCACCTAGTGGTGAGTTGGATCAGATGGCGGGGGAGGCTGCCGGACAAATCTGTTAAACCCGAAGGTGTAATGAGGGTGTGCTGGCAATGCCTGGCTGAAGCCCCTTCAACTCACACCTCAAGAAGAATTTCTCTCTTGTCCCAGGGGAGGCTGGGGACATGGAATCCAAATGGACCATACATATTTCAAATTGAAATGTATTTGTATAGCACCAAATCACAACAAAAGTCATTTCAGGACACTTTACAAAGTAAGGTCTAGACCTTACTATTGTAGTTGCCAAGGTAAAATCTGTAGCTGTTAGGATTTGATACGGACTAAATTAATTGAGACAAATCATCCCAATTTAAATAAACATTTAATATATTACAATTATTCTGAACAGAGTAGTAGTTAATCTGGTAGTTAGAGAACAGAAAACAGAATCACTCCTCCTGCAATGGAATAGATCAAGTACTGAATAAGAAGATTGTCACAGAGTCAGTAAGTCTTGGTCTGGGGTCCAGTCAGTCAGAGTCCCCCCAGCCGGGAACAAATGCACACTCACGACTGCAGCACCATCACTCCTCCCCTCTCCCTGACCCACAGCTGTCATAACTTCTTCACGCAGTTAAACAGCCTTCTATGGCTTGAGCCAGAGTCACAGTCCCATGCCAGCTCTACACCCCTTCTTCCAAGCATTGTCAGAGATGTCCAGTACATGAACTTATTGGTCACGTTGACCTAGCGCACATTTCCTTTTTCTAAACCTGAACAGAGCACACAAACTGTTCACATAAGGCTGAAGCTATGTCCATTCCCCATTTAAGGAGGAATTCTTTCTGGATGTTTACCCATAAATTAAATCAGGAGGACATAAGTCAAGATATTCTTGCTTCAGCAAGAGAAGAGAAGAGAAACAGATCAAGCTTACATTAACAGTTAGCTCACCCTTACATAACTACTACAAATAATATCTATATATGAACTACATACTATTCTATTACATATTACCTCTAGACTGGTACCTTGTTTGCCACTCTGAGAGACAGAATTAAAAAAAAAAAAATTCAGGAAATCACATTGTATGATTTTTAAAGAATTTATTTGTCTTGCACTGCTGAACATAAGTATTTGAACACCTGAGAAAATCAGTGTTAATATTTGGTACAGAAACCTTTGTTTGCAATTACAGAGGTCAAACATTTCCTGTAGTTCTTGACCAGGTTTGCACACACTGCAACAGGGATTTTGGCCCACTCCTCCACACAGATCTCCTCTAGATCTGTCAGGTTTCGGGGCTGTCGCTGAGCAACGCAGAGTTTAAGCAGGTTTCGGGGCTGTCGCTGAGCAACGTGGAGTTTAAGCTCCCTCCAAAGATGTTCTATTGGATTGAGGTCTGGAGACGCTAGGCCATTCCAGAACCTTGATATGCTTCTTACAGAGCCACTCCTTGGTTATCCTGGCTGTGTGCTTCGGGTTGTTGTCATGTTGGAAGACCCAGCCATGACCCATCTTCAATGCTCTGACTGAGGGAAGGAGGTTGTTGCTCAAAATCTCACAATAAATGGCCCCATTCATCCTCTCCTTAATACAGTGTAGACGTCCTGTCCCCTTTGCCCCCCAAAGTATGATGTTACTACCCCCATGCTTCACAGTAGGGATGGTGTTCTTGGGATGCAACTCATC